TTTTTTTTTTTTTTTTGTCATAGTACCCCCAAGAATTTAAAACTACTTTCACCCCTGAGCTTATCCTTAATATAAAAGCAATTGTGCAAAATGATTGAAAAAAAATCTAAGATGACAAACTAAACAACATTTTAATAAAATTAAGTAGGGAATCATACATTTACTTTGTAGCTTTTTATTGCCTTTATTAGAAGACAGACATCCAATTCTGTAAATTGAGTAGAGAGACACGAGTCGATTCCTGCTGCATTTAGTCAGTTTAATGCCTGTTTGCACCAGATTCTGCTTCCAAGTTACAGTTACTGGATGTTTCTGATCCTTCTATATGATAGAACATTAAAAATGAAAGACAAACAATCAGATTAATAAAAGCTGAAAATATTTTTAATTGTTAAAAGTTTTTGATTTGTCTGCATCTTGCATCAGCAAAAAGTCACCGTCTTTGTTAAATTTAAAAAATGCCCCTGCATTTGAGCAGCTGGGCCAGATTTTTTTTTACCAGCTTTGAATTAATCACCTAAAGAACCACAATAGCCCCGGGTTGTTACCCCTGGTCTCCAGGTTACACACCTACAGACTGCTACTTTAGTATTTCTACTTACCTTAAACGTCAACAGAAACCTGACATACATGATCTCGGCAACATTTGAAAGTATTTAATCAGAGCAGAAACAATGACTGCTGTTTAGGATCAGGAGGCAACGCAATGCTTTTCGACAAGAATGATGGATTGTATTGCTCACCAACTCTCCAGCTGCCTTTGTTAGCTCACTATTTAGCATCAGGTTTTGTAGCTAACAGAGGGAGAGCAGATAACAGGATGGATTATTTAACTCTGATTCACTGAAATCCTGGACGGCGCATTCGAGGTTTATAGAACGAGTGTCAAACTCACATCAAGATCATGAATGTTCTGTTAATGATCTGTTAAACTGTTAAACTATTAATAAATAGTCTTTGCATTCAATTAGTTCTTAAAATTAAATAATATTGAAAATGTTTTCATATTATTCAGTGCCTCCAGGATTTTGAGATTGTTTTTGTGATTTTTTGCAATCAAAATGACTGATTTTGTGGTGCCGATTAGAAATATTTGAAGGGAATTTCAAAGGAATCTTTTATATACGACAGTAAATGTGACATTTTGCTACCCACTGTGTCGTATAAGCTGAACGTATAAGATGAATACATGAATTATTTTATTTTTATTTTTATTTGCAGTTGAGGTGTTGATTGACTGTAACAACTTGTGTGTCTGAGTGTTTTAGATTCAATAAATTATATCGATCATGAACTATAACCTGAATTCAGGCAGCAGAGTAGAGGACATAATAAATACCGCCACCTGCAGGTGGGAGTCGACACTCACTTAAACCAAGTGCGTTTGATTATTTTTGCGTTATATTTGCAATAAGCTCACAAATGTGTGTGAATTTCAGCAATCACAAATAAACTAGAGGGTCTGATTGATTTGGCATCTAGAGTCTAGATGGCCGCATAAAATGATGCAGTGGGCCAAATTTGGCCCCTGGGCCTCGAGTTTGACACATTTCATTTAAAGGAACCATCTTCTTCCTCAATGATTAGGTTTTTATAATTTATTATGAAGGTTTTCCACTCCGGTTAAAGTTACTGGAGCTGAATTTCTTCTTTCTGGAGTTAATACAGCAGACATGCTTCACTGATCCATTATTCTGACATTCACACAGTTGGACAGGCGCAACGTTTCTTCAAAATCTAATTTATTATCTGAATGATTCAAGTCAACAAACTCGACATTGTTGGGTCAAATTATTCAGGTACCTGACTTTGCTGTTTGCTGTTATCACATCAGAGCTGACACAACGGACAGTTTAATTAGCCGCCGTTATCTCAGCTGTAGTGTAGATGGGCACATCTGACTTCTGGTCAGAGAGTAATAAATCTTACACTTCAGATACTTTGGGTTCAAAACAAACAAAGACAAGGAGGTCAATGTAGGAAAGAACAGCTTTTTCCCAGAACTGAAGCTGCAGCATGATAAAGAGGCGTGTAAAGATTAATTGTTGCACGTTTGTTGTAGCTCTATGAAGAGTCGACCGCACCAGAAAGGCTGTGGGTAAAATGCATTCTGATATAAATACTACCATAAAGTCCTTGCATGCAAATGCTGACACTGGTAGAATAAAAGTCATCGGCAGAGGAACTTTTATCAAAATAATTGGCTTCATTAAATGAAGATGCTCAGTTTTATTCCTTGTTGCTTCTCATGCAAACGTTATTAAACCCTCCAGTCTGCACAACTGAGCTTGGTATTTAAAACATAGTTTATGTAATAATGAATTTTAAGCCTCTTTTACTTTGTTGATCATGAACCTGCTGGACATCTGCAGCACTGCATCTCAGACTTAAGTTGAATGTATCTTTCAAAACATTTTCTATAATAAATCCAAATAAAACAGTTTAGAACCAGAATGTGTTGACAAACAACATTTTAATACCAGGAATTACAAATTAAGGCAGCAAAATGGTGCCTGACAAATAATTTTATTGTTACTGCTGTTTTAGATCCAACATGCACAGGTTTGGGGTTTGATCCCACTCATAAATGTGGGACAAAACTTTATATATTTAGCCGTAAAATGAATTACTTTATTTAAAAAGACATTTGTAAGCTTTATTTTGAAAGGCCAGGAGAATCATCTTATAGCTGTGCAATAAGATGACCTGTTTGAAACTTTTACTTTGAAGAGAACACAAGAGCTTTATTTTGAAAGACTCACTGGTTTTACTTAATTGGTTATAGTACGTAAAGTGGAAGCTGCAATAATCAAACCAATGAAGCAATAAAACTTATTTTTTTAAGACTTTTAAGTTTTTTTTGTAAAGTTTAACTGAGGTATGATAACCATATGTGTATCTAATAATGTCCTGCTACTTTAACTAGCTTAGAATAGTCAGTAATGTTAAAGCAATTCAACCTTTAAAGTGCTGAGGATTTCCTTTGCAGGACAATCATTTGAAAACACTTTTTATATTGAAATGCATAAATGGGTTTTATTTTGAAAGGTTAACAATCTCTCTTTGAACACTGGTTGACTTCCATTAGTAAAACAAAATCCACCAATTAATTTTTTTACTCAGAAGAGCATCTTCAAGACCAAAAATCAGAAAAACATTTATCTTGATATTTCAAATTGTTCCCATATTTCCTTATTGCTTTCATAGCTGATTTTGACAACTTTTTACTGTAGAAAAGAAACTAGAAACATTTGAAATATTTGCAATAATTATGTCTGTTTTGTGTTTTATTTGCGGAAAAAGCCAAGCACATAAAATATCTTCATGGTTTGTGGGAATACATCAGATGTAGAAGCCAGGGTAGTTTGTTTTCCTACCAGAGAGGAAGGATATCTCACTGATGAGCAACCAGCGGTCTGCAAAGTAAAATTTGCAGCGGAGAATCTGAGCCGGCCGGCCGCCGAGCGGGAGGGAGATGGGTCGTGAAGAGGGGTCCTTCAGATCTTCGAGGGGAACCGGCAGGGTGAGCGCCGGAGACGACCAGGGCTGGAGGAGGCCAGGCTTGAAAAGACACTCTACTTTGCTGAAGACTCGCACGCCCTGCGTGTGCCGGTTGTTACTGTGAACCTAGGAGAGCAACAGAAGTGAGTGAGTCCAAGAGAAAAATACGCAAAAGATAAAGATCAAGAGGGAAAGAGATGCAATCAAAACTCTACTAACTATGCATGTGAATTAGCTCGAACACACAGCAAACTCTGGCATGTTTGTTATTCATAATGAGTAGAGAGGCTGGAAAAATAAAATGAAGACCCTAAATTAATGACACATTTTCATTCTGTTAAACTGTAATTGCTTTGGCATGAAAAGCACAGAGCAGGACTGCAGATGAACAAAATAACAAAGGCAGTAAGGGAAAAAAAACAACTAAGACTAGAGAGTCACTGAAAAAAAAAGAAAACTCAGCTGGCGACCAAAGTCTGACATTATTATTTATTTTGCTAAATTGACTGGTGACCGGTCAGATACTCCAAAATCCAATCTCTTTTGATCGGTATACACACCATCCCCAAAAACAAACAGTCCTCTCCAGTTTAGACGCTGTTGCTGAATAGAAACGAACTAAAGTAGCCGCCTCCTTTCAGCAATTACCGGGTGTTTTAGGGTCAATTCACTCCAGTCTACTTTAATCCAAATAGAGTTTGTTTGTCTGGAAGACCCGGTTTGTTTGAGGAATGATGAATGTTCAATCAAAGTGAGTTTCTAGTGTTCACCTAAAAACCTCGGTCTCGGTTTGATTAAAGTGAACTCTGGCGCAGTTCGAATGCATATGTGAACACCAACCAGGCAGCACTCCGACAGCAGGGAGCAGACTACAGCACAGGGCATTCTGGGTAAAAGCAACCAAAACAAGCAAGGGGAGCCAACAGGTCATTCAATTAGTTTGGTTAATTTGGCACAAAGCAGTGTGAAAGCGAACGGCAGCAGATGAAAATGAAACAAATGTTCCAGTTTTGGTCCCCAATTGAACCGAGTCTACCGGATTATCAGGTGTGAAAACTTGATAATAAAGTCTGAGTGAAAAAAGGTGCAAGAAGCTTTTTAAAAGAAAACTGCATTTTCTACATTATCTACAAGCACAGTTCTAAAACTGTGACCTAAATTATTAACAAGCTAAAAGCAAACAACATTCATGTTGAAACAGAGACTCCTGAGCACAGGAGGAAATCTCTCACTGAAAACCTGCTGGTGTCTGCTAATGGAAAACTAATCTGGCCAAATGTTGGTAAATGTATGAAGTGGCAGGTAAACGTGACCAGCCCACAACTCAGATGCAATGTAAACACAACATAATAGTTAAAATCACAAACTGCGACGTTTACAGAGCTCAGTTTACGAGACGGCAGAATAACTCTGCCTGCAGGTCCAGAAATGGAGCCGCAAAGAAAACATTCAGAGATTCCCGTTTACTACAGGATGTAGTTTCTTGGTGAGTGATTCTCATCAGGTTGAACATAATCACCACGATAATACAGATGAAATGTCAGCTCTAATATTTGTACTGGAGGAAATTTGGTAGTATGTGCTACCTTTATTGAATTACTTCTATTATTAGTGATATTTAATGAGATTCCAGTTACCATAAGTACAAGGGTTTCATTTTTGGTTCAATGCAGCTATAAATACATTTTAAATGCACAGAATCCCTCCATGTTGGAATTTGAGGTCAGAGCTGGTCAGTAAAATCTGGAAACAACTCGACCTTTCTGGTAATTTACAAATCTGGGACTTTAAAATTCAACTAAATATGCAGTGCCAGTATAAAGTCTTTTTTTCTAGTATCAAAACACAAGATACTGATTAAATAAATGTTCCTTTGATACTCCGGATAATATGGTGTAACATGGAAACGTTATATTTGCTGACAAAATAAAAAGTACAGTTCTGAAATGTATTGAAAAATGTTGGCTGCTCATTCAGACAGAGAGAACGAGCCTGTCAACAGATAACAGGAAGGCCAATTAGTCTATTCTGTTTTTCGAGAACACACGGCATGTAAAATTAACTTCATGTAAAATTAATAGATCCCCACTTTTTTTTTTTTGCGCTAATGCATAATTGTAAGTTTTTTAAAAATTTTCCACAAAATGGTTTACGTGACCACTAACTCCCACCTGCAGGTGGCAGTATTTCTTCCTTCCACTGCACAGCAACCTCAGCCACTGATGTGAAGTTATCGATATGGCAAGAAACAAAAATCGAGCCGTTTAATTTCTTTGAAGGATAATATATGTGTGTTTAATCTGTCAGCTTGTTTTTTTTTTCATAATTGTGCTTTTATGTGTAAATTCTGGAAGAAGTTTAATGAGGAAAAAATATTTGCAAAATTCCTTGTAATTATTTCTAAAGTAGCACCACAAAATGAGTAAGTTTGAAAAAGAAAGTCATAAAAACAATCCTGGAGGGAGAGCAGAGAAAAGTAGCTAAATCTGTGGATTTTCAAACTCTGTGTTGCTGGACTTGAAAATGTTTGCAGCTTTTTAGGAAATCTTACATTTAAAAGTGGGGATCTACATACTCCATTATAGTAGCTGCTCTAACTATGCTGATTGAAGTGGCATGGTAATCAATTATTCAGTTTTAAAACCATAATAAGACGGTTTCATATTAAAATAATTGTTATAGTTTTCAATCAGATTTCTCTCTGCTATTCTCATATTTTCTAACTTTTTAGGTGTTGAATAGAAACAGAAATCATTTGGAATCCATATTACAATCTATATTAGCAGAAATTAGCAACTAGATATGAAACTCAACACAAAACCTATTGGTGAATCTCTGAGGAAGACGGGAACAGATTTCCCCTGTTCACAAGTAAATCTGCTCTAGTATATGAGGATGAGGAGGAAGCTAAGGGGATGAGAAAAGGATGTCGTTGGTAAAAGGAGTAAGTGAGAAGTCAAAACTCAAGATCGGATGGAAACTCAAGAAGGAAAAAGGTAGATTTTTCTTTTTCTTTGGAGATAGAGGAGTTGGTGCAGAGGTTGCTTTGACAGGTTGGCTGTTAACCTCACACAGTGCAGGAGCAGTCACGCTAATCTAATCCACATGTTAATGCTCACACACAAGATGCAAAACGTCCAGCTGCACCAGATGCTCGGATGATGTGTAAGCAGGAACAACATTTGGTGTGTGCAGCGAATCATGGCTGTACAAGAGTAACAAGTAACTCACTACCCCATGAGGGAATATAGCTCCAATGACCTGCAAAAGGCGTTCTTCTCTTTTAGGGAACAGCTCTGCATTCATTATGCTTCACTTTATGCATCATAAACCCAGCGTTCATTAAGGATTCTCTCTGATCTTTCTTCTCGGTTTTAAGAGCACTGACAATTTTTTATTTTTTTTTTTTAAAAATGCTCTGAAATATTCCCCAAAGGATCTGGAGCTCGACAAAAAGCAGATCCAAGAGTGCCATGACTGTCAAAGGGTAAAGAGCAGATTTCCCGTTTGAGAAAGTGATTAGCCACAGGTTAGGGAACTCTGTCCTGCAGAGACAAGTCAACCAAGAACTGGGTTCAGGTTCCCACTTTTTATTTATCTGACCTGTGCGCCTGACATATCCGCTCAGTCAGGCAAGCATAACAGTGTATGTCAGCTGAGGTTAGTGTGGGAAAACCACTAGGGAAAGGGCAGGAAAAGCCGGATAAGTCTTGGAAAAACAATAGGAACACTGCTGGGAGATATTTTAAACGGTAACTGAGGTAAAGTAGGACAATGCCGAACACTTGAAGCATAAATCTGCTGAGAAAACTGAAAATAATTGGATTTTTCTGTGCGATTACTGAGTGTAAATTCACTTTTCAATATGTACACGAAGAGTTTGTTTCACCCAAACCGACATTCCAACCCTCGTCCAATACAACAACACAGTTATAACTCACACTGGGTTGCTTCATATCATTATCTCCATGGTTGCTCCAAAAACTAACCCCAAAAGCCACACAGACGCACAAACAGACTCTGATGCAACTCAGTGGCTCCTAGAGAGACGAGCACAGATGCACCGTCCCGACACAAACTATGGCGCATCCAAACTAATTACATGACCGCAGAGCGATTCCAGCCAAGATGAAGCTGGTGGCAGATTAACAAAGCCGAAACAATGAGGCTGGAATATGGGAATGTCAAAGGAATTTCATCAGCAACCAGAAGAATTAGGACAAAGCCAAGAAATACTTACACTTTTAGACGTAGGGATACCATGAAATAATTTATTACCAGGCACACTGTTGCCTGTGCATTTTAATAAAGCAGGCCCTGTTATGTCACATTTGGGGAAAAACACAGAATGAAGGCTTGGACTGGTTCTTGGACAATTTTCTTCAAGCTTTTAATGCCTTTAAATAAAATAAAGACAACAAACTATGATTTAATAACAAATCATAATGCAATCCAAAAAAAGCTACATTAAAAAAAGACGAATGTCCAAATCTGGAGTTTCTGGACATAACAAGCAGGTTAAAATAAAAAAAGACGATAACCAAACATCACGACGTCCAGAAATTAAGACAAAAGCCTATCAGATCTATATATATTTATATTTTTGCCTTTTTTCGGACTTTTTCCAAGTATGAAATAGATATTTTTGTATCAATTCATACCTGCCTTGTAAATGTTTCCTACCTGCTTTAGTGGTTTAACGTGATTCACACACTCCTGTAAGGAAGTCTAGGAAATCAACCAGCAGAGGATTATTTTGGCTCAATCAGGGATCATGATCCATCACATTTCATCAGATTCAGCTGGGGAATGTCATGGGGAATATGAAATCCTCAGAAATTGTTATACAAGACAATAAATTACATGGAATCTGAGCATTTTTATGTCAAACTTATGCTGAAAATCATTAGGAGACATATCTGGCAATGCACGAGTTTAAAATCTGGTATGAAGAAGAGAAGCAACTCTGAGTCTGTCCAGTAAACATGGCTGCCACATCACCACCAAGGTCATTTATAACAAACCTCATCAGAAGAACAAGCCTTCTAATGGTCATCCTGCATCAAATCAAGTTTTTTAATGAATGAGATCCTTGAAAATAAAATTGTTTACTAAAAGAAGAAGTCAGACTTTTTCCCTCCATCCATGTTTTAAATTCACTAAAACTAAGAACTCCCACAATTTTTGGTCCATAATGTTCCAACAAACTTTGACGCACTTTTTTGAGTTTAATACAAATCAGATACAGGTTAAGAATGTGTGTTTCAATGCACAAATGAGGAAATTCCAGTAATTCCTTCATTTGTTGAATTCAAAACAAATTTTGATTTGGTTTTTAGAAATTATGAATCATTGATTTAGATCCAAATCAAATGTTCTTCTTAAATTGTGAAGTGGTAAATAAAAAGGTTTTTATGCAAATGGCAGCATAATACAAAACAGGTTCTCACATGGTTTGTCTGATGTCAACATGCTGAGATGCCCAAATTTAAGGGCAAGTTTTGTGCACTAAAGATGTGAAAAGAACGTCAAATTGCGACATTATTGCTGGATATTGCGAGTTGCATTCAACTGACATTTCCACTTTCTTTTCCTTCATTATGTCCCACTGCGGTAAGAGTCAATATCCAGTTTAAATATGACCTAAAGTGCCGGAACTCTACGTGGGTTGCTAGGAGACGGGCTGGGCTTGGCTGGGGTTGCTAGGTAACGACGCACTGTGACTTAACAAGTGAGAGGGTCGTTTTCCAGACACCGAAAAACATCAACTTATTGACAAAATATAGCTGGGTGTTCTTTTTTCTAAATTATTAACATTAACAGAAGCAGCAGAGATCCAAATGAAAGCGTGCAAAATATGAATTTTACATAATATATCTCCTTTAAGAAAAACTACTTTAGATTTTAGAATAACTGGCCAAATAAATTGTCTGCATGCACAACATTAATGCACATTACTTAAAATATAGCTGTTATGCAAGCAGTCCTTTGCAACTACGATATACCAAACATGCCGACAGCAAATCGAAAGCCAGAACTATTTTTCTCTTCTTACTAAAAGCTTTTGCATATTTGTCTGTTTGATAAACTCCCCTAATGCTAATTTATTCATGCACCATCATCCCAAAACAACACATCTGTCCTCACCTGCATGTTGTTGAAGAGTCTGGGTTTCTCAAAATGAAACTCGATGTCCACGCTGCCTTGCCCGAGGGCTTCTCTGCTCCATCCAAGGTAATCGTACCCCGGCCACACCCGCAGCTCCTTTGTTTCTATGAAGTCATCTCCTCCCAGGACGCCGTCACAAAGCTGGCCAAGGCCTCCGAACTGCATCCTAAACCGACGCAGTATCATTAACGCATCATTTTCACAGAAACAGACTCAAGTAGCAGCAGTGGGAGCAAATTAAGTGGAAAAACTTACAGATGCACATGCAAAAATACACATCAATAGCAGAAATACATCCCAGCAGGTTTAAAGCAACACGACAGGGTCAACAATAGGACCCCCTCCACCCACAGATGTGCCTGAATCTGCTAGGAAAACGTCTGGATCACATCAAAAGTGCCTGCTCACCCGTTAGCAAAACATTTCAGCCCCATTAACTGCACAGCCTGTAAAAGTGTGGACAACTCAACCCACCCTAAATTCCTGGTTTACCCCTCATTGCCCACTGCCAAACATTATGGTCTGGAAACACGCCTCAAATCCCTGAGCGACTAAGAAAAATAATGCTATTCTCTGCTGATTAGGTGGGCAAAAAACCAAACACCTTTTAGTTTGAGCAGATGTGACAAGCACCAGATCCTTTTTATTTTTAGGCCACGTCTGAATATTTTCTTAAAAGTTTAAACTGTGGGAGACAATGAGGAAGAGTCATCATCTTCTCATGAGTAAAAATGGAAACAGAGATGCAGCTGAATACCGTACCCTTGTTCTGTGCTGCCGTCATAGGTGGAGTCGTTTAGATAGACCGGTATGCCGGGCAAGTTCATGACGTGTCCCACTGGAGCCGTGTAAGCGTACAACCCATCTGGGAAAACACAATTACAGGTTATTCAAGAAGTTATAGAAAGAAAGCATCGTCTCATACCTTTCTGTTATGTTTCCAAATATTTTGCTGCTCAAATCTTATCGTTTTGATTTGGTGAATGTTGAATTTAGTACCACAGTGCCAGCGTCATGGATGGAAATTTGTTAATTTACCATTCAGAGGTACATTTACTCTTTGATTTACATTTTGTCTATTTGGTTGTAATGCTTTGCCAGCAGTTTGGCTAAAGATGATAATGTCTAGTCTGATTTGGCTGATGTAGTGGTCAGATGCAACCAGCAGGGGGAGTCTACCACTTGAGAGGTGTCCGGCTCTTTCATTAAAATATTCCCCAGGTATGAGTTTATATATAAACACACATGTACGGTTGCAAATTAGTTTATTAACTTTTGGAAAGCTTGTGAGTATATTTTTTGACACTCCGTTGTTAGCTCTGTTGCTAGCTCCATTGTTAGCGCTGTTGTTAGCTACCATACAGTTGTTAAACTTTGAGATCATTGTGTATGTTTTGTAAGCTACCCGAGATAATAATAGCCAGGCGACGTGTCTGGCTCTTTCATTAAAATATCCCCCTTCTTCACGGCTTTTACGCCAGCATATAACTTAAATTGTGCTTTTATCAAATATATATCAAATATCAATGTGCAAACATCAAGTGGTTGCTATCAGAGGTTAGCGTAGGGCTGAAAAACGTATCACATGTTCTGACATTGCATTTTAGGCAATAAAATGTTATTTAAAATAGAGTAAAACCGTTTATTTTAATCTTTTAATGTATTTGAGAAGTTAAATAAAACCAATTATATCCAAGTAATTGTTAGAATAAATTGATAGAAAAATCAATTACTAACTTTGAGGCCCTACTCACAGGCGGTGCCAGAAAAAGATGATTAGTGTTATGACCCGTCATTGGTCATAATGTTATGCCTCATCTGTGTGTTTTTGACCTTGCCCAGGCAGTCGCTTTCCAAGCAGTGAGCAGAATGAGGAGGTCATGTTGTTGGACCTGTTCATCCCTGGCATGCATTAACCCATAAAACCTCCCTGCTGTAACAAACAGCTGCTAATCAGGCTGGTCAGTGAGAGCAACAGCGGCTAACCTCTGCTATCCATAATAACGCTTCACAGGGTGTTTACACTGCACCGTGCTCTTCAGGCACATGAATGACTGTCTGAGGGTCGGGCAGCTTCTTTCTGAATGTTAAACACTAGAAAGAGCAGTCACCTCTGTATACTGATTTGTGATTACATAATGTGTGGAAATAAAGCCTGACATTCATTAGATTCTGCATAATCTGTGGCCTGAAATTGAACCGAGTTGCTGCACCCCTGAGACCGCAGAGGATCTTTTTTTTTTTTGAGTGACGCTCTCCCTGAAGGCACGGAGCAGGAACCGGGTCTCACTGACGACTGTGATTTACAGAGCCCCCCGCTCCGTCTCTGGGAGGTGGATGGGGGCAGGAAAGGAGATGAACCAGTCATAAATACTCAGCGTTGTGCTTCACAAAAACCAACATCATTCATCAGGCTGTGGCTTCTTTTCTCTGGGCGAACCCGTCAGAGGCTGCACAAACACGTACTAGTAATCATTACCATCTGATATGAAATTAAATCTTAGAAGAAGGAAAACTCAGTCGCCTTCAACATAATCAAACTTATCAAGATCAAGCCGGCGTGCCTCAAATACGCACACCAGATGATAAGACAAGCAAAGAGTTGGTGTGCTTCTGTCACCACATACTTACCATTCCACACACAACCGTACAGCTCCACCCGAAGGCAGACACTCATCACTCGGTCTGCCAGGGGGTAAAAGCGGACCATACGGGCAACAATCGGGGGGCCGAGGTCCTTCAGCACAATTTCATAGGTGTTCTCATTACCTGACACCACCTGGAGAGGGGACAAGCACAAATACTCAATTACATGCTGCACCACCCTGTTGGTTCCTTCCTGTTTGATCCCGCCTGGAGGCTCAGATGTTTTTATTCTGGGCAGCTTCCAGTTCTATCGATTTAGAAAATGTCTGGATGAAATTAACTTTTCATTTTAGTTTCCAAAAACATGAAAAATACTGATTTCAGAGAGAGAGGCCGCATTTGACACAATATAAACAGGTTTTAACCAGGTGGATGGATAGATGGATGGATGGACAATTAAGGAAATGAATGAATGGACAGAAGGATAGGGATAAATATACGGACAGATGGATGGAAAAATGAATGAGTAAATGAAAATATAGTTGGACAAATGGATAGATGAAAAACTGACTGATGGGTGGAAGGAAAAATGAAAAGATATTTAGATGGATGGACTAATGGATGGAGGAAAAGAATGAGTGATGATGGGTGGGTGGATGAATGTATTAACTGGATGGATAGATGGACACAAATGCATGATGGATGGGACAAACCGAGGGATGGGTGGATGGATGGATAGAAAAAGACAGGATGGATAAAAGGTATACGGATGAACTGATGGATGGATGAAAGGACAGACTGATGGATGCAAAGTCAGATGGATGGAGACAACTTGAGGGATGGAAGAATGGATGGATAGAAAAAGATGAATGAAAAGATAGACGGATAAAGTAATGGATAGATGAAAGAATGGGCAGACGGATAAAGTAATGGATAGATGAATGGATGGGCGGATGGATGGATGGATGGGCGGATGGATGGATGGATGGATGGATGGAGCAAATTAAGGGATGAGTTGATGGATAGAAAAAGACAAGATGAATGAAAAGACAGACAGATTGATGGATGGATGTCATTGAATCAATCTATTTTTGCTCCACAATCAGAGTGGAGTGTCTCCAGGACCAGCTGCCTGGAGACACTTGGACATGTTGTCCCAGTCAGACAAATATAACTTCATGAACATGTCTGGAAATGCTGAGGACCTTCTGACCACTAAGATTGAGTTGAGATCAGACGACAACTGAAAGTGGAGAACAAAGTGAGTGACTCCGCGTCTAGACGGTGCTTAATGGGGGACTGAATTCCCAGAAACCCAGAGCAGGGCTTATCGGCAAGGAAAACACTTAACATGTGCCGAATGCTAAAAGTTAAGGTTTTCTTTGCACTTATCTCCACAACAACAATCAATGATTAGCTATAAATAAAACACTCAGGTAAAGAGCATTAATATTCAACAGCCTGAAGACACAGATCAATTTCTCTTCAATAGTTTAGTTCACCCTCGGGCTCCTTTTGGCATTTACTTTTTGCACTTGTGCACAGAGGTGTCCCTGTGTAATTAATGAAACACTTTCCTTAGATTGATGCATTTCTGCTGACTGACCTCTTGTCCCCAGCGGTCCTGCCAAGTGATCCATTTCTTTCCGTCTCTGGAGTAACGGAGCCGATAACTGCGGACAAACTCTTGGCCGTGACCATCAGCGTGCCGACCTTGGGTACCAACCAGAGCCACGAAGTGGAGTTTGTGGAGGTCGATCTACAGGAAATACATCAGTAACACAAGTGTCCCAGAACAAGTCATCTTTCAAAAACTTTACAGTCTAAAATAAGTAATTTATTATTTCTGTGTTTTCTTTCTTCTCCACCTGCTTCTTTTTAAAAGGTGACCTATTATGCTTCCTTGAACCGGTCAGCATATGGGCTAAACAGAAAATTTTAATTACATTGTTTGCACAAAATCATTCTTAGATGATGAGATAGATTTTTAGTCTGGTCAATTCTTCCCATTCTGAACTCCTTTCAGAATGAGCCATTTTATGGCCTCTTGTCACTTTAAATCTAAATAAGCTGCTGCTGACCATGGCTCCCATCTCAATGTTTACATTCACATGAAAATGGCTGCCAACTGGACAATTATTCAACCACACATTTTAGAAAAGCTGTAGAACAACTAACCAGAATGCAGCAAGTGAATCGCAAGTCATCAACAACTCACTTGTATTTTCCAGCAGCCATTGTACAGTAATAAAAGCAGCTGACCAAATGTGCTGGAGCACCGCTTGGGTTGCTAGGTTGGTTGCTATGCGAGGGGCTGGACTTGCCACAGGTTGCTAGGTAACAGAATGGGCTTTGAAAGAGTTGCTAAGTGAGGGGCAGTGTCTGCCGATTTGTGACTTTATATTCTGAAGGTTTTTGAAACGGCTCGTTTGCCAGACGGTAAAAAACAATAACTTATTGCCAACAAACACCTGAGTGTTTTTTTTTTTTATGTGCTGAAGTATATACAAAAAGGTACAAAATCTGAATTTTGCAAAATACGTTCTTTTTGAAGTCACAGGTGAAACAGCATGCCTTGTTTTTCTGAAATATAGAACCTTAAAGCTGTCCAACTCTCCAAGTTTACAGATTTGTCTGACATCATAAAACAAATGTTTCCCATTTAAAAAGTAGATAGAGTTACAATGGATCAGCCAGACAGCCAGAGGAATGCTCCCTCGGATTATGCTTTCAAACTTCGAGTATGGAAGGATTCTGGCTAAGCCGCTTTTCTGGTGAAAAACATGTACAGTGCCCTTTAAAAGTATCACATTTATTCATATTGGAGCAATAAAGCTAAATTTTTTTAGGGGACTTTATGTGACCTACCAACACAAAGTGATGCATAATTGTGAAGTGAAAGAAAAATAGTATTTCAAATCTTTCAAAAATAAAGTTACAGTCACAAGGTTGTGGCATTTTCCGGTATTTATCCTGAAACTAAAATTTTCACCCTTTCTTATTTGTAGCTCGAGCTCAGTCAGGCTGGTACATCCATTCAAACATGGATATGCTTTGCTCTAAACGAGTACAGCACACTTTAATACACCAACAGCTTCACTAACTTGGTACGCTTGAAATAAGTCAAGTTACTTCCAGACAAGAAATCAGAGGTGGTTTTAACTCAATAATTTCTTAATATTAATGAAAAAGTACTAGCTTTTGACGTCACGCTCTCTAGAACTCCGGCCACACCGCCACGACGGACGTCAAAACAACCAATGCGATCTTTTAAAGCGAGTCTAAAAGCAGACATCTGTAGCCCAACATAGCGTCTATTTAGATGATTTCGCTTTAAAATGGACCCAGGATGCTGCGCGGTCGGCTGCGCAAACAGAGAAGGATGCAAATCAAACTTGTAATTTTATTTTATAACTTTAAATGACAGAAGATGTGCGGCGATGACCAGCCGTGAATCATAAGGACCGTCAGCCCTCGATGTAATCGCGGATTTGCAGAGAACACTTTTTACAAGATAAGAAAACTAACGTTCATTTGCTTAATGAGTTAAATTAGAAAGATATCAAACATCACATTATACAGAAGGTGCGTCTCTGATCATTGGTAACCATGGAGACAGTGCAGCACCGTCACGTAGCCTAGCATGTATGGAAAAAACTGGTTAACATCTCGTCTTTTGTAGGTTTTTATTGCTGCTCTGCTGTAAGGAGAAACGCCGATTATGACAGTGATATAAATCATGTGGAGCGAATTCAGGCTATGTCGGTAATTTGAGCAACACGTCAGGAGAGAGGAGGTACGGGTCGGTTTCTAAACTAGATTTTTAAAACTTTTGTAAGAACCGAGCCCCAACCAGGTGTGTTACGTTCTCAGATTAATTAGCTTGACCCGAACAAGTAGTAGCCATGATGAATAAACTGACAAAAACATCTTTGGAAAACAATTTCAGTTGCTCTGTTCAATATCACTTCCGACGTCCATCATGGCGCCTCGAACGATTAAGTGGCTTAATTACAAACGGTCAATAATTAAAATAATCTGCCAGTGGGAAAAATGTCTTGTTTGCCTAATCTGCTTTAAACATCCCTGCTAAAAAATTGAACCCGAAATGCATGTTTCATCCTCTGCAGTCTAATATCAACAGGGTGACCATTTAACCAGATATATCCAAACAATCAATTAAAGTTAAATTATCCCTTCTGCACGTCTAATCTAACACCAACTCTCAGTGATTGCTAAGGGAGCACATAACAATTAGTTAGCAATATTGCTTGGATTAAGTTGTAGGGTTTTTTTTATTTTTTTTACCTTGTAGCTACATTGGCCATTGGGGATTTGTAAAGCAGAACCAGCAAAATGTATAAAACACATGGTGGTTTTCCACCCACTATACAACAAGAAAACCTTTCTGCAGCAGTAGCTTCACTTCAGGGGAGAATTTTAAAAAAAATTAAAGGGCAGGAAAGTCAGCTCACAAAACGCAGGTGAAGCCATTTATTTCCAATCCTGCAACGCCATAAAGGATTGCCACACATTACTGGTAATGAATAAATAAGATTTAACACCGTTTTACAAATAAGAGAGCGACCATGGAAAAACATAATCAACATCTTGAAATGACTGGTGCAATCAAGCAGTACTGAACAAAATGAAGCAAGATGTTTGAAAATGTAGTCAGGAAATTATATAAAACTCTTTAAAAGCAATCAGCTGTTCATTTAGGCAGCAACAATATTTGGAGAACACAGACAGATTGTTGTTTGTAGTTTGTAATGGTCATTATATACTGCACTAATCACCAAGATGCTGAATGTCAACTCAGCTTTAAACATAGCAACTACTATTATGGCAACTACTCTCTAGCACACAGTGCGACGCCACTTCTGCTCCTAATTCAAGTAATGACAGGCAGGAAAAGCTGATTGAAAATATTTGTGATACATCCAACTGTAGTTCTTAAATAAAATTTTAATTGGCTAACATCAGTGCTAAAATTGGCCACAAATATCTGATCTATGGATCTTTATTTCATAGTATTTACACAAGAAATGAAAGGAAAAATTACTTTTATGTAAAAACAGAAAAGCAAAAATTGTTCCTTCTGTTAAAATAATCTAACATATCAGTAATGAATGTTAATGTAACATTGTAAGATTTATTTAATGTCATTTCAACTTTGAGAATGAAGGATTAAAGTTTGACCATTTAAAAAAATGGGATTTTATTTCCGTGAGTTGACTTTAATTCAAAGTCAAGAATGCAGCAAGTGGTTTCTGGATGGTAAGTCAACAAAACATCCAACAGTAAAACCAGCTGACCAAATATAATGGAGCTCTGCTTGGGTTGCTAGGTGACGGGCTGGGCTTGGCTGGGGTTGCTAGGTGACGGCACAGAGTCTGTTCATTTTGACTCAGGCAGGTTTTCGAAATGGCTGCTTTTCCAAAAAGCATCAACTTATTGCCAAAACACAGCTGCGTGGTTTTTGTAAGCGCTTGAATCCCTTTGAATAATTGTTATTCTTCCCACAGATAAGCAAGGAACACTGAATAAACAGAGAAACTGACCTGAAGGTACTCTGACTCATTGGGGAAGACTGGTGCTGCTGGACACCACGCTCCATCCCCTTCTCCGGTGCTCAGCCTGAAAAACAGAAGATCGATTATTTTTTAATAGTAAAACTCACTTTCAAGGCTGGTCCATCATATTGAAACAAAAAAAAGAGGCAAACATACGAGTCCCTCCACTAAACCTAAAACCTCAGCGTTGGCAACGTGCGGAGGACTCAGCACAACCTTACATACACAATAATGACGATCAAAGATTCACAAAGTTGCAGCAGTGAATCTGACCAAGAAATACACTGCAAGAAAGAGACTTGGATATGCACACTGACGAAAAGCACAGACAGCATCCAGCTCACGAAGAGGGGGAATAACATGGAAGGAGTAAAACCTCCAAGATCTGGTGCTCACTGTCAGGACTGGATCTTCGCTGAGAGCTTTTATCGTGACCACACACATGCATCAAACATTTCCTCCCAGTGCGAACCCTCCCTCAATCCACCCGGAGGAGAGGAGCTTTTACCAGCACCACATATTGGCCACAAGGAGACCACAGCCTTGGCCGTGAATCTGCGAGGTTGGACCGGCCTTTTGGAGCAAACTTCCAGGCCACAACCACGCTCTGACCGCTTCGGGGGCCTCTCCGAAAACAAAAGCTGCTGCGGCGACCACTAAAACAAATCACAAGATCAACTCGGTTAAACTGACGGTGACGTTGGGATTTAAAAATCAACCTCTTCCCCTGTCTGCCCGTGGGTGAGCTCATACAACTGGGAGCTGGGATTAAATCAACACATTAGCGGTCCACCCAGAGTCCTGTGACGGAGGAGGAAGGAGAAATGCAGCCGGGCTCACTTTGGACCCGAATGCACCAGCCTGCTCTGTTTAGTTAAATATCTTCTGCAAATGCTAAATTCTCCAATTTTCTTCACTCCATCGTATCCAATATGCTATATAATTTTTCAGGGGACGAGAAATATGGTCCATTAAACCTTGAAAGCTGATTCATCCCCAGTTTATAGCGCAGCAGTGCAGCAGTGCACCTTTCACTCATTTTCTGTTTTACTTTATGTTCGCAGCTCGGCCTGTTTTCCCTCTCAGGGTCTCCCTAATGTGCCTTAAAAACAGCTTGAGCTAACAATCACTTCCACATGGTTAGACACTGGGCCAAGAGACCCAACCGGCCCGAACACATGATCCTGCAGAAAGCTCCAACACGTGGTTGTAGCGTGTTAGGGGTTTAACTGGGCTCTCGCGGATCTGAGCAGACGAGGTGGTAATACAATTAGCAAATGGGTTTCATGAAGGCACACGCAATTATCTCCTGCCGAAATTTATTAGACTTCAGAAACATTAGCTTTTTTCTTTAGCGTGGTGCCAGCGGACTGAAAATAAGCTCTGCAGACAAACACATTAGTCTAAAGAAGGGCTTGATTTACATTTTGCACAGGTTAGGAGCAAACAGCTACGGCAGATGCATAATTATGAGATAAATTGTATTCCTCATTAAATTGTTTAACAGAGACTACAATCGGTCAGCCTATGAACATCAAAGCTGAATGTTTAACTAGAGTATAAAACCTCAAAGGTAAAAATTGTCCCTAATTATTTTGTTTTCCTACAAAAAATGTGAGATGTATTTCAATATACATGTAGATCATATTTTAATAAACACTGATGTTCTGTGAAAAGAAGTGGTAAAAAGATATGGACCTTGCAAAACGTTCACAGCACAACTCCAAATTTCAGTGTTTTACTGAGATTATATGCATAGATTATACACAAAGTAAATGACTGAAGAGGAATGAAAATGATGCACAAGTTGTAAAATATTTAAGAATTAAACAATTGATATGCGTTTGTTTTCAACCCCATAAGCCACCACTGGGGGTACGCATCTCACAGCTTCACTGTCTGAATGTTATGACCGTTCTTTGCAAAAGAGCTCAAATTCAGTCAGATATCTTTGCATTACTGGAAGTAGAACATTTATCCCAGTCTGATGTTTTTAGCAGCTTCTTGCAGGTTTTCTTCCATCTTTGCTCTAAATTTAACTCCATCCATCCTCCCATGGACCCAGCGTGATGCTAGCTGTTCGCTTTAGCTTTGAAGACCAACTAATCTGGATTAATACTAAAAGAAGATGCCAAGATAAGCACGACTTTGAAAAGCATTAAAATAACCTCCTGCACAACCAACAAGAATGCATAAAATGGTTTCTGATTGATAAGTCGACAACAAAGCACTTGTCTTGTCCTGCAGCCATTGTGCAGCACATACAGCGTTAAAACTAGCAGACCAAATGTTCTGGAGCTCAGCTTGGCTTGCTAGATAATGGGTCTGGATTTGACCAGGGTTGCCAGGCAACGGTGCAGTGTCCATCGAATGTGACTAAATCTGGAGGTTTTTGAAACGGCTAATTTTTCAGACACTAAAAATTATTAACTTACTGCCAGAAAATGGTTGGATGTTTTTTTTTATGCTGCTTTTAGAAGCAGTTGAGTCTTAAATTGAAGTACAAAAACCTGCAAAATGTGAATTTTGCATAATAGCTGCCCTTTAAAAAACGTTTTCACAGAGTTTTATCAGTCTGCCTCCCCATTAACCTTTTTCTTTAAGAGGCCAACAAGTTCTCAGCAGGATGTCAGTCAGGTGAGGAGTTTTCTCAGGTCATTTGTCGGCCATCTTTCAGGCCTCAGCTAGCAGAGCATGTGATGGAGTGTGGGTCCATGTGATGCAGCAGTGACCCACATAAAGCATGAGACCTCAACACACACTGCAAACCTCCTCCTGTTAAAACTGTCTGAGAAAAGCATTTTCCAGCAGAGTGTGGAAGTGATTTTCTTATTCGCTCTGAAAAGCTCCAACTGGCTCGTCCTCAATGGTAGCAGCCCGTGTCGGTACTCCACCATCCTGCCAACGCTTACCGCCGCCTTATGCTTTCTGGTTATCAACACTGGCTCATCCATCGCCTGCAAAGACTCATTTTATCTTCCTGGAAAAGCTGGCAAAACAATTTCATCAACCTCAAAGTGGGCTGCATCGCTCCTCAACCTTGAGCTTTGTGCTACGTCATCCGACTGCTTCATTCAGGAAACTATTTGGATAGAGTTACTGCAATAAAGTTATTGTGGGAGTTGGTGATTTTTTAAGAGGAGAGCCTCAATCATTCTTTATTACTTTCTTAACTTCCAATTATGTGTCTTTACTAACTCTAGTTTGTGATTACGGCGCTGAGAATGAGCGACTCCAGGCCCAGCACAAAACACAGGTCCATCAAGTCGAGGGCGATGGGAAATGTTGCAGCACTGGGGCCAGAATCCCCAAGTTGAAACAATTTAGGGGCGTTTTCTTTTTTTTTACTCCAATTAGAAATGCATAAACAGTGTTACTCTGAATTATTACCTGCACAAAAATAAATTAAACAGCCAATACTTTAAAGGAACAAACATTTGCCTTAATGTTTATGGTTATTTAAGTTTTTGGGCCAATTATTTCTTATTTCGCTGGACTATAAATAGTTTTAGTTCATTTCCAGCAACAAAACTGAGAATTTCCTTTTAAATCCTCTGCTCTTTAGCCAAGTATAATGGATGGGTGTGTCCAAGTGTGTTTTTGGGTAAAAAAGTCACTGGATATTTGCAGCATGACTTTCTATTTCTAAAAAAAGGCAAATAAAAGAAAATCCTTTGTGTTGCACACAACATTTTCTGCCTTAGATATAAAACCGATGACACAAAGTGTCCATCTGCATTGGCTTCACATGCAAGACGACCAAACATTTACCATTTTTGAACCACACAAAGTGAATGCAACACCCCCGGATTAGCGCGCGCCCCCCAACTTAGGAGTGAAACTTTCCCAAACACACAAGCTTAAGCATCAGGAGATCTTATGTGCCAGATTGTGAAGGAAATGGACAGAGAAAAAATGAAAAAATGACAGCCAAGGACCGAGCTGAAGCTCCTGATTTTCTGTTCCATCTGATGACGATGTTCCCATTTGGATGTTATGGCTGCTGGTGCCAGACAGGCTGGTGTGAGCATTTCAGAAACTGCTCATCTCTTTGATTATAGAGAATGTTTTTTAAAAAAAAAAAAAAAAAAAAAAGAAAAGGTATCCACCGAGCAGCTGATGTCTTGTTAATGTCAGACTGGTTTGAAATGACAGGATGGGAACAGTAGCTCAAACAACCATGTAGAGGCAGATGGTTTACAGCGGCAGACGGTCACACCGGGAGCCACTCCTGTCCGCTGAAAAGACCAAAATGAGGCGACGACTCCCACAGGCTCACCAGCATCATCCACTGCGTCAACGGTTCAGGCTGGCGATGGGAGAACGGAGTACAGAGTATTTTCCTACTCAAACTTCAGGCTTCTTACTATGAACTTGGCCTGATATAATATTTTGCTCAATGATAAATTGTCCCAGAAATTATTGTGATAAACGATATTATCATTTTGAGACCATTTTCATCTATTGTTAATGGGAATGGCATGATAATGCAAGTTAAGACTAATGGACTTCAAAAATACCTTTTGGAGCCAAAAGGGAAATGAAATCATTAATTAAAATTCTTCAGAGTGTTTGTAGATGGTGATGGCTGCTGACAGGAAAGATCTCTTGTAGCAGTCAGTGTTACAGCTAATTTGAAAAAGCTTCTGATTGACACCGATTAGACGCCTTATGTCTTCAATCACTCATGAAGCAAAACAAAACACAACCAACAGCAATAAATAAAAGCACAAAACCATAAATAAAATGGATTATGAATTCTGTGAACAAAATGACCCTTTGAAAAATATTAAATCAGAATAGAAATGATCATAATCATTTTAATTTATTATACTATTAGTTGATTAATTATTTGCTTAATGCACCTGGCTTACTAGCAACAGAGTGTAATTTCAAAACGCCACAATCATCTCCATCCATTCATGACAACAGTGCCTCCATTTTCCCATCTCCACTTCCAGCAGGATATTGACCCATGAAACAAAACTCAATCTCAAACTGGTTTCTTCAACGTTAGATTTTCTGAAAAAAAAAAAAAAGGGGCCTTGAAATCTACTTTCACATAGCAGGTCTTGATTTTTTATTTT